ATATTAAATCTCAGCCATCTATATTATACGAAAGAATCAACAATAGAGTTTTAACTTTTGAAACAACAATACAACTTAATCTATACTAGTACTTTCAAAAAAAATTATAATTAGCAGTGATCCAAAAAGTAACAGAAGCACAAGAAACAACAAGTGACATGAATCAGCAAGTAAAATATCCGATAAAGGAGATGGTGCTTCATCATGTCTCAAATAAGATTAATGATATTAATCTCTCTCATAAATTTCTCGGAATTTTCTAAAACTTTGTGCATATTTTTTAAAATTACCCTTAAAGACCGGCATTTTTCAAAATTTTGTCTACAATACAATGTTATTTTTATTATTCTATTATTCTTAGCTATTATCCAACCATTATTTGAGCAGGTAAGATATTACACAATTACACATTCATCTTATATATAAGTCATTTTTAATATGTTTTACAAGAAGTAAGAACAGTTTTAAAATTTATTAACTTTGTCTAAAAGTTTAATATATTTTTAACTTTATTCTTATTAAATGTGAATGAACCTTTCTGGATTAATCCATAAGCTTAACCGTTTTAGAGTAACTTCAAGGAACAACTTTTTATAATCAAACCATACTAATAATATATTCAAATCTATTATGGTCCTATAAACTAACTTACTATGTAATATTGTTATCCCTATTTTGTAACGAATTCACAATAAACAAATGACATGTAATTCTGGGCCTTTGGCTAGCCACTAGCATGCATACCATAGAAGAATAATTGAAATGACACAAAAGCATGATAATGCATGAATAAGTTAAATACAGATTGTCCTAAGGTGACAATATGCAGTAAAGAACATAATTTATAGATCTAGAAAGCACTACAAGTTGCCAGTGTAGCTATAATTCTCTTGAGCTTTCCTTGATGTCCCTTCTCTAAAATTTTTACTTGAAAAAAATATTAAACAATAGGAATGAGACAACGTCTCAGTAACTAAACCATTTCCTATCACACACACTAGCATAGGGCTAGTGAGGTATCAGGTGGAATACACAAATTTAGTAAAAGTTAATAGACATTTATTTAATAGTTAAACTCATAATGACCAGATAAGTCAAATATTTCAACCAGCCTTATGCAATTGATCATGTCGTCTGCAGTCACTAAACCTAAACCCTCTCATATATTTTTTTATTTTCACTGACTGAACCCATGGGCTAAGTTCTTTTCATTTAATTGGCTAATCTCACAAGCTCACCACATGAGCGACGTGGACCCTCCTCAAAGAACTAGGGGATGTCATAGTCCCTCAAAAAATAGGTGAGATAATAATAGTGGCCAATCATAGAGTTTCGTATGGAGGCCAATGTCACGTGGCAAGTATATGGATTTCAGTAACCCTAATCATCTCCTCCCACAACCCAACTAGATACACAAAGTTCACAATAACACATTTATATGTATAATCAAATGAATTCCAGAATAATACCTTATAGTCATAATCATTAATTTCTAGTAACATAAACAGTTTCAACCCTTTCAAAATAGCATCCCACAAGACAGTTATACCAAAATATAATATACTAGTACAAAAATTAGTTATAAATTACTCACCAACCTCATATTAGAGTATGCAATAGATAAAATTTAGTTACTAGTTTCTTAGCTAATAGTTTAATACAATCAAGGCCTAAACTTGAAAATGCCACAATAGGATTTATTTATTATAAACAAAATTAAAATGTTATTTTTATAGTATTAGAGTTAGGGTGTTACGGGACGGATCGGGATCGGGATCGGGACAGGCCCGTCCTGGTCCTATCCCGATGAACAGTAACGGGACAGAGAAAATCTATCCCGTGTCCTGGCCCGTCCGAGGTTGTCCCGGTCCTGGTCAGGACGAGGACTGGGACCTCCAGAATTTTTATAATTTTTTTTAATAAAATCTGATTTTTTAATTATATTTTTTTGGGCTTAAGCCTTATAAAAACATCTTTTTATTTTCTTTTGTATTTGTTTGGACACTCTTAAACAAAAGCCCACATATTACATATATATAGTCATTAAAAACTCTAAACAAAACTTAAAAATTCTAACCATTAATAATCTCAAATCCTTAACAAATATAAAACTCTAAATAAATATATCCATAGTTCATTATAGTTTCAAATTAAAAAAAAAATATGAAAAAAAATAATATTATAATAAATAGGATAAAAAATTAAAAAAATTAAAAAAAAAAAGGAATGGGAACGGGACTGGGACGGGATGACCCCGTCTCGTGTCCTGTCCCGTCCCCAGTAAGAAGACCGGAACGGGCCGACTAGGACGGTTTGGCCTTGAAAACCTAATTAGAGTAAGTTACTCAAAAGGTTTTAGCCTCTAACTGCCCTTCTAAGAGCTTCAACTGTTATTAGAATTTCTAGCTCTAGAGTAAGAATATATTGTGTGTGTGATGATTTAGATTCAATTCCTAGGTTCCCTTAAATTATTCTTTAATTATTACGTTATATCGTTAGAATCATTAAATTCATGACCTACACAAAAAATCCCCAATTTATAGTTTATATTTTATCTTCAAAGAACTTAGACAAATAGATTTAATATGAGTTATGTTATTTTCACTACAGAAGTTAAATTATTAATTTGAATGTTAAATTTAATTTCTTATCTATCACGAGTCTATTCTTCAAATTGTTAGTGAATGAATTTAAAAACAACATTTTATTATTTAGGATTTTATCTACAAAATCTGAAAAAATGAGTTCAAAGTATACCTAATAACTCGTATATCAGATATTAGATCAACGATCTAACTATTGAAATTGATGAGTTGGATGTGACAAACAGGTTGACAAAATTTCAGCTCGATCCAACGGTTTACAAACTCAAAACTAAGACTTTTTTGAGATTGTCTCAGATGTGTTTGAAAATTGTTTGGCTTATTCTTAATCCTACGTACCACCTCCTATATATAGGCTCATAGAGCTCCCTCACTTTAGTATTTAGTTGATTTGGGACTTCTATATCATGTTATAGTATTTGTTTCTGTAATATTACACACACATTCACACACGCCTAGTCATGATTAATTAAATTTTCTTATATTTTAACCGGTATTACCTTTCTTCTAAAAGATATTTATTTATAAGTTTAATTGAATTCTTGGCATAAAAATTTAGTATGTTACAAAATATCCGTATTTTAGAATTTAAATAACATATACTAATATATAGTGTCGGTAAAAATGAAGCTAATTAATGATAATAAAAATTAATAGCGCATGCTTTATAATTAGGCCAAAACAAGTGGTAGGCTTTAATTTGCAGCTTCCGCCAAGGTGTCTTTCTTCCACAACTGTTTGTTTTCATTTGAAGAGTCGATGAGTTTTGGGCTTTTTTTCCCTTTCTCGAAATGGCAGTTGCCATTGTTGAATGAGTAGACTTCTGTGTTTTCTTTTTTTCCGGTCAACATTTCTTTTTTGTCCAATGAGTAGACTTTTGCGGTTGAAAATCAACACGCTATTATCCAATTGGAGAATACCCATTCATGTGACCGTAGCCAATTATACTATGACACCATGGAGCCTCAAAAGAAGTTATATCTTCAAACCTTGTATTTGTTTCTGGATTACAAGGATGCCTTCGTCGCTGTAACTGCTGTGGGCAGCTTTAAGGAGAACGTTCTCTTCCGTATGACTAACTCACCGACAAAGGCCATGCTTTTTCTCTTACTGTTCAGAATCCTGCTTTTCACTATCTGCGTCATTTCCTACACTCCTGATGATAATTTTGCAGTCAATTGCGGTAGCTCCGGCAATGCTACTTTTTTAGTTGGCCGGAGCTGGACCGGAGATATAGACTCAGAAAAATTCTCTCCGATCAAATTCCCCGATAGCAACGACTCATCGGTAAGTGCCAAGGCACCTTTCAAAATAACCCCTTACAATACCGCACGTCTCTCTCGCTCTGAAATCTCCTACTTGTTTCCATTGAAGACCCACGGCCGAAAGTTTATTCGCCTTTACTTCTACCCATTTTCCTACGACCCCAACTTCCTTCGCTCCGACTCGTTCTTCTCCGTTAGAGTTGGATCTCACACTATTTTGAAAGACTTCAATTCTTCAGTCGCCGCCGATGACGCTGGCAAAGACACCATTTTACGAGAGTACTGCGTCAACATTTATGACCCCAGTGAGGGGCTTATGATAACCTTCACGCCTAGCCCATCTCATCAAAATGCCTATGCTTTCGTCAATGGCATTGAGGTTGTCTCTATGCCCGCCTTTCTTTATTACACAAACCCAGGCAACCTGCGAGGAATGATGCTAAATGGTGGAACCCAACAGTATGAGATCGAAAATAATAAAGCTCTCGAGACTCTGTACAGAATCAATGTTGGTGGGAGTCAGATCCCGCCCGAAAGAGATTCAGGCATGTATCGTTATTGGGACCAGGATAATGAATACTTGGAGAGGGAGCGACCGTACAGTGTTTCAGCAGGTTTTGGTGTGCAGCTAGTATATAGATATGATCAGGATTATTTTGCACCTGATGAAGTATACATGACTGCCAGAAATTATGGGAGGAACGAAACGTCCATATTTAATGTGACTTGGGAATTTGAAGTTGACTCAGATTTTTTTATTATGGTGAGATTGCATTTTTGCGAGTTTGATGAAGCCATTGAAAAAGCCGGAGACAGAGTTTTTCAAATCTTCATAAATGATGCTTTGGTGGAGCCTATCGCCGATGTGATGATGTGGACTCAGAAATTATTAGTTCCTATCCATAAAGACTACGCGGTGTGGATGCCGGGTGACGGAAGGTTAAAGAAGCTGAATCTTTCAATTAAGTTGCAGCCACACCCAACTACAAGAAGCACTTACAGAGATGTTTTATTGAATGGTATTGAAATTCTTAAAGTAAGTGACTTCAGAAACAGCCTCGCGGGTTCCAATCCCTATCAAGCTCTTTCTCCCCCATTGCTTCCGAAGGCTCCTCACAAGAACCCGCCAAAAATGAGACTCACTTCCATAGTTGTGGGGTCAACTTCTGGCTTCATTCTGCTATCTCTCATCGTTTTGCTGGCTTATTGTCAATTGGCCAGAGCTGCAACCAATCAAGAAAATTCACAGTGGGGACCAAAATCATTGGCGACGTCAAAAGCGAACACCTCCTCATTGTTACCATCCGATTTATGTCGTTACTTCTCAATAAGCGAGGTAAGAGCAGCCACTAATAATTTTCATGATAGTTTAATTATTGGTGTCGGAGGGTTTGGTAATGTCTATAAAGGCCACATTGAGAACGGTTCAATTCCTGTGGCAATCAAACGGCTCAAACAAGGTTCACAACAAGGGCTTAAAGAGTTTGAAACTGAGATTGAAATGCTTTCTCAACTTCGACACCATCATTTGGTATCTCTCATTGGTTATTGCAACGATGACAATGAGATGATCCTTGTCTATGAGTTCATGGCTCGTGGGACCTTTCGTGAGCATCTTTACGATTCTGAAAACCAACCACTTTCTTGGAATCAAAGGCTGCAGATTTGCCTAGGTGCTGCGCGAGGACTACATTATCTACATACAGGTGCAAAGCAAGCAATCATTCATCGCGACGTCAAGTCAACAAACATCTTAATAGATGAGAATTGGATGGCCAAGATTTCGGATTTTGGACTCTCTAAAATGGGACCTGGGGGTATCTCTAGATCTAACATTAACATAAGCACATTAGTGAAAGGAAGCATTGGTTATATGGATCCAGAATACTACACATTGCAAATCTTGACGGATAAGTCAGACGTGTTTTCATTTGGAGTTGTGTTGTTAGAGGGATTATGTGGGAGGCCTCCTATTCTCCGTGCGGTGGACGGGGAGCGACAAAACCTTGTAGACTGGTTTCAAAGACATGTTCATGAGAATGCCATCTATGAGACGGTGGATCCATTCATCAGAGAAAGTATAATGCCGGAGTGCTTAAAGGCATATACTGAGATTGCATTGAAATGCGTAGCTAAAAATGGGAATGAACGGCCATCGATGGGTGATGTGATGTTATGCCTAGAGTATTTAACGGAGACAGTGAACAAAGCGGAGAAGACAAAGCTTGGTGGGACTCTAAATGAGGACATTATTGTTGAAGAAGGATCACTATTCGATGGGTGATGGATGTGCCAGTTTTGACTTTTTCTGATAGTACTAGTTGAATCTTTTAAATCAACACACGTAGGTATGAAACTTGTAAATAAGTACGTACAATTTTGCGTTTACTATTAGGGGTGAAAATAGGCCAGGCAGCTTATCAAGAGCCTATGGTCTGGCTTGGCCTATTTAGATATCAGAACAGACTCAAGCCTGTAAAAAGGCCTGTTTACTTTATCAGGCCAGGCTCAGGCTTGATAATAAGCCTGTTAGGCCTGTCAGATGGTCTGGGCCTGTTAACTTTTTTTATTTCTTTTTGAGATTGAAATTCTAAATAGATAGGTATTGAAATTTAACTAATTGTCCACTACCTTACCCCGGTCGGGAAGGTGGCTCCTTCTTATGTACCTATAGTTGTTATTTTAATCGAAATTAAAAATTATCAGTGTTCAGGGAGCATGAATACGTAGGGGCATATATATGATTGATCAAAGTGCTATTAATTATGCATATATATATTGATATATAGTAATTGTACTTATTAATTGCCTGAGGACCAAAAGGGTCTCTAACTACCCAAGCTTTTGCCTTCTGCACCAGTTTTTTTATTTGTTTTTCATATCAGCTTTTTAATTTGTTTTTTATTTCTCAAGCCGCCTTGCCCTTTCTCAAGCAATAAGTATGGTTTGAAGAGGAAACCAAATGTACAAATTTTGAATTCTAAAAATAATACCATTTCTTATATTTATTAGTTATTAAATTTTGTTATGATCTAATTAATACATGTTTGTATTTATTAGTTATTAGCAAAAATAAATTGTGTTAATTTGATAATTTCATATTTCTGTTTGTATTTCAAATAAATTGGGTTGAATTATTATAATTTTGAATTGATTTATATGTGTTTAAAATTTGTTAAAAAAACAGGTCCCTTAACAGGCCACAGGTCAGGCAGGTCAGATTACAGGCTAGGCTCAGGCCTAATAAAAGGCCTTTTATAGGCCAACAGGCCTCACTACAGGCTGGGCCTGTTAAGATTGAGGTCTAGCCTGTTTCCACCCCTATTTACCATTTCGTCATTCATCAATTTTCAAGTTATTAATTGCCTGCACCATTATTATACAAGAAAACATCGCCTTCTTTACGGAGTCCAATTTCTCTCTCTCCCACTTTGCGTAAGAACAGGACTGCTTTTTCATTAAAAAAATAAAAAGAAAAAAAATAGAGACACACACACCCACTTTTGTGGTCAATTCGGGTCGCATCATTCACTAAAATTCCAACTTGCATCTTCCATGAAGTTGTTGAGCACAAAAGCAGATGACTTCCACGTATGACGCTTTATGCGTCCAAAAGAATTGGTTTTAGTGGACAATTCAAAGCACCACATGTTTCATGGAACTGGGTGCTAGCAGCCACATCATATTTTAGCGTTACTTATTAGAATTGTTTAGCCATTTTAAATCCATAGGAGTTTGGTTAAATACTTTCTCCACAATACCGCAGAGGGAGATTAGTTTATGAATTAATATTATTATTAGTGCTGATTGAATACTGATTTTGAATTCTATAGGCTCATAAGGATTTGGCCCGTGTTTAACCGCGTTAACTTTTATTTAATGTCATTAAGACTGTTAAATATAGGGATTAAAATTAAAATTCATTGAAAGTATAGAAACCAGAAGTGTTTTGATTTTGATCCTTGTGTTTTTAAAAAGTTTTATACTTAACGACATCAACTTAAACGAAGTCCTTATAAAATTCTAAGAACCAAAAGTTATGATTCAAAATTATAGAGATCAAAATCAAAATGAATTCCTCCTCTATGAATTTTTTTCGTCTAGCAGTGTTTCAAATTTGCTGAATGGACGACGGAAAAGCAAGTAGTCCTTGTAGCGTTCCCCCATAGACTAACATTTGGGAGAGGATTATTAGTTTGAAGAATGGGCTTTTGCAAACTTATAAAAAATATGGCCGAACAACTTTCCATCTAGTATGAATCAAAGTTTGAATCTGCACTGCAAAATAGAGGTGTTCAATTTGTCCCGTCCCGGTCGTCTCGTCCCGGTTCCGGTGAGGTCGGGACGGGACGGGACAAAAAAAATTTCGGGATGGGACAAGTACGAGACGGGACGGGACAGTGACCGGGACGGGACGGGACGCGGGACGGGGTTGTCCCGTCCCTTCCCGTCCCGGGATATATTTTTTTAAAAAAAATTATTTATTAATAATTATTATTAGATTATTCAATTTACCTATTAATAATAATTATTATTTTTATAGTGATTTTTAACTCTTAAGTTGTAATATTATCTGAACAATATCTCCTTCCTCAATAAAATAATTCATAAAGCCATTATATAGTGTTTCTTTTATTGTTTTTTTTTTACAGTATTGTTTTTACACCTTTTTTATACTATATAATTGAGCTTTCTACATAATATTTTTTATAATGTTTTTATCTTTAAAAGCCTAACAAAAAATAAGCATTATAACATAAAAAATTTCATATAAAAAATTATAGTATTTTTAAAAAAAAAAAAAGGGGAGGGGAACGGGACGTCCCGTCCCATCCCGTCCCGATTCCGTCCCGGTCCCGTCAACCGGGACGGGACGGGACACGGGACTAAAACCCTGTCCCGTCCCTGTTCACCGGGACGGGCCTGTCCCGGTCCCGTGAACACCCCTACTGCAAAATGTGTCTATATTTAGTACTCAATAATATCTCAAATGAAATTATCACCAATAAAAAAAAACCTATACATCGCCATAATAAAAAACCTTCCGTTTAGTAAAAGTCCTTTGGGGCGTTAATAATTTTAGGCCTAGCCCAATTATCTCTAAAAGTTGGTCCAGATAAAGGACATATAGGGGTTTCAAACTTCCAATGCCAATAGAATAAAGAACAAAAAAAAAAAAAAAAAGCCGAAAGAATGCAAATATGTTTCAGATTCATATCATAATAGCTTTATTCACAATCACTATACCCTCTTCTATTACCATAATGGCTGGGGATGGCATCCTACTGCGTAATAAAGGTTTTCACCCAAATCAAACCAATCTCACTTTTGGATCATTGTTTATCAGAACACAACTGTTGCAAATCTTACTGGAACTGCGTATATGGAGTTTGGTGCTGCATAAGTCTGGCACATAAATTGTTTTTCATTTGTTTTTTTTTTAATTTTTTAACCTAAAACATCTAAGCAATAACAAAATGGAATAGAGTGGTACAAGAAATGAGATTCAAAATAAGACGAAGAAGAGTTTAAGAAAGATGAAAACTAAATATTTAATTTATAGAGCCTACTGACTTGGTCTATGTCCAGTCTTCAACAATCCACTTGGGATTTTTGCTAACTCTTGCAAGTTCTTAAAACTGGGTACAACCAACTTATTTAATCTCGATTTTACTTTTCAACCCTTTACCGTTAGCAAACCCAACTAACCAATTCAGGGACCTTGAGTATTCCTCCCAAGAAGAAAATAATTAAATGTTCATGAACTCATTCAATGAGTAGATACAGACTTTGAAACTTAAATCGAGGTATATATTAGTTAAGCATTCAGTTTTTCTCCTTCACTAAGTCTCTGTCACATTCTATTTCTCTCTCTTTCTGATGTTATGTGATCTGAAACACAATTAGAGTCCGCCTGTGGTTTCAATTATATATTGTGTGAAGTAGAAAATTCAGGACGATGAGAGGAATAAGGAAGCAGTTAGTAAATTATTTATGCGAAAATGGTACACAATTAGAGTTGCTCGCTTGTGAATCTGCAGTAATTAAAGATCATGATCGTCAAGAGGTTATAACAACTATTTTCTGCATCTTCCTCAGTTCTCCGGCAAGCTGAGCCTATATCTATCCTTTCCCATGTTACTTTCTTCATAAAATATTGCCCCGTTGGTAGGCTATATAAGGTTTGCTAGCGAGCGAGTAGCCAGGTAATATAATATATACAGTTAAAAAGTGAGGGGTCCGCATTTGGTGCTCATCAAGTGATGAGCACCCTCATCAAGTGACGAGCAATCTGGACGGTCCGAATTAGATATTTTTAAATAATTATTTTAAAATAGAAAAAATTATTTTTTTAAAGCATGATAGTTAAGATATTATGTTTATTTTTTTATCTTGTACCTATTAAAATAATTATTTTAAAAAAATAAAAACAAAAATAAAATTAAATCTGGACTGTTCACATCGGATCTGGACGGTCCATATTCGATGAGCACTGGGTACTCATCAGTTTTGATGAGCACCCAATGCAAAACCTAAAAAGTGACTCCAATTTTTATCATTGATTTTAATTTTACATGGAATAATTACATTTTGAGAAGCTAGGGGTGGAGAACCTTTTTAGAAGCCAAATTCTCCCTTTTAGAAAATTCCAAAAAAAATCCTGAAATTATCATTTCTCAGTTGAAAATGACAAAAAATGAAATTGTGATTGATATGGTATTTTGTAAATATAGTTAGATAACTAAAATGTCTTTGTATCAAATTTGAAAAAAAAAAAAGTTATCAAACTTGTTATTATATTGCCATTACATTTATTGTCATTTGCTATTCAACACTTGTTATTACCGGTTCACAACTTGTTAATAAACTTTTTGATATAAAAACATTTTAGTCATTTAACTAAATTTACAAAATATTAGATCAAACACAATTTCCTCCCCTAAAATTTTAAAGTATTAAGTGCTTGATTTAAAATATTACAATTTTAAACTTTTTATTTGTCATTTACCAGTTGCCATTGTTGAGTAATTACTGAGTAAACTACCGTGCATGTAAAGTATTTACAAATTACACATGTTATTATACGATTGGAGAATATGCACACAAGTTTTTGACTTTTCAAAATATGCATGTGACGTAATTGTGGCCATAATTTTTTTAAATAAATAAATAATAATAATAAAACGGTCTGTGTGAACAGGAAAGAAGATAAAGCCAACTTCTCAATCCGCATTGTTTCCCGATCACAAGGATCCTTTCTTCGCTGTTAGTTGCTGTGGGCGGCGTGAACGAAAACATTGTCTCCAGTATGACTAACACAATGGCTATG